TAATTACGTAATAATATAATAATTAACGTTTAGGATAAATTAGCCGATTTTTTTTTAGATGAATTTGACACGTGGGGTCAATATTATCACTGGGATTTTCCTTAATGTCTTGATCACAATGGATCAATGAATTTTAGTGTTACGTTACTCTTCCGCCAGGTCAATCATCCATAAGTGTATATATTGCATATATAAAATATTCATTATATTTATAAATATATATATATTTATATTTTAATAATTACGCACGGTCACTTACAGTATAAGATCTCCAAGAAAAGTAATAATTCTATTCTGAATAACTTACACGTACGAACTGTTTTATTAATGCTTGATGCTGTAATAATACTATACAGTAATTGTGTAATTGTAAGAATCGAAATATTATTATACTGTAATAGTAATTACAATAACTTCAATAACGATAATAAATACAGAAATATAATAATTGTTTTAATAATGATAAATAATGAATGATAATCGTGAGATCCTGCATGCTTTTCGGTATTGAACGAACTTGTTTTTAAAAGAAATCCTAATAAAATCCTTTCATTTTTTACAATATATTTCTTTTAAGTTGTACGTTGGCGCACAATTTACGTAAGTTTTCACAAAAAAAGAAATTATTTTATTTTTTTTTTCTAAAAAAACTTGCTTTTTTTTTGTACAATGTATCATTGGCAATACTTTTTGTACACACTTTTACATTCATATATTCGCAAAGATTGAGTATAATGTTTGTGTATGTGTACATATCTATATTTATGCTGTTAAAAGATTTTATAAAAAAAGATTTTTTATAATAAATATTATAAAAAAGATTTTTATAAAAAAAAAAAATATACATATTTATAAAAAGAATTATATATACTGTATATGTATGTAAAAAATTATACGCTGACTATATTTAAAAGTATGTTAATAAAAAAACGGTTAATCATTTCTAATTTCGTATGCAACAATTTCTTCAAATTGTGCGACAAGTTGAGGCCAGGGATCTAAACACTCGTAAATAGCAATTTCCCATTCATCATCACTCATCTCACTTCTTGGACAAGTTAATATCTTTTTAAATTCATCATAAAGAGTTTTTTCTTCTCCTGATCTATTGATTTCTTCATTATTATTATTAATTTTATTGTTGTTAAAATTATGATTTTGACGTGCCTTAGAATCAATGTCCGTTGATTCAGAATCAGAAAGATGTTCATAAACATGTTCATAAACATTTTCATAAAGAGGTTCATGATTAAGCCCATTAAGTTCGGTGAAATCTCGAAGTGGTATATCATCGGTTAGATGATTTCCTCCTAATGCACTTCCTGGTCGTTTATTTACTTGACTTAAAGCTTGTTGCGCATTTATAAAAAATTGTGGATATGAATTTAAAATATTTTCTAATATATTAGGTCGATCTCTTATAACTGTTATATCCACTAAATCAGTCATTTCATCATTTACTAATGAATAAGCTTCATTATCATCATCATCTTCCTCTTCCTCATTAATTTCAGTTATGTGATCTTCTATATTATCATAGAATCCAACTATCTCTTTAAAATTAGCTAAAAGTTGTGGATTCATTTCCAAGAAACCTGAAATCTTATTCATCCATTCCAAGTCTGGAATAAGATCACGTGGAGAATAAAGAATTGAGAGAAATTCTTGCCATTCATCATTTTCTTCAGAAGAAAAGATACTATGCTTAACCATTTCAAAGTAATCTTTATTCTTTTTAAATAATTCTCTCATCTCTGTATCACGATCAACAAGTGCTACTAGAACCGTGTCAGTTTCATCAAATCTTAAGTCGCGTACTGGAATATCAATTGATGAATCAGTTGGTGAATTAACAAAGAATTCTTCTAATTGTGAAGTAAGAAAGTTTATGTCTTGACTTTGCTTTCGGTTTACTATTGCAGGATCATTATAATTGTCTTTATAATTATTATTCGATGGTTCAATGATTTTAGGAGTAATACGATCTTCCGCATTAATACGATCACCTGTATTAATACGCGGTAAAACTGGTCTTGACGGTTTCTCAGATATATCAATTAGGTTATTTTGAGATGAATTTAGAGGTTCCATAATGTTTTTTTTAACAATTTAAAGAAATATACCCTCTTTTTTTTTTGAAAATGTTCTCAAAAATTTGGAAAAAGACAGTTAAGAATTGAAAATTTCCCACTTTTACACGGGTTTATACAAATTAAAATCATTACGTAATTG